TGTGTGCCCTGCGAGGGACCAGTGTCCTGTCCAGGGTGGGTGAGTGTGTGCGTGTCTGTGTGCCCTGCGAGGGACTGGCGTCCTGTTCAGGGTGTGTGAGTGTGTGTGCCCTGCGATGGACTGACGTCCTGTCCAGAGAGTAGCCCATCTTTTGCCACTTGCCTGCTGGGATAGGCCCCAGCTCCCATGACCCCGTGTTGCATGAAGCGGTCAGAAAACAAATGAAAAAATAATTTAATTTTTATTTCCAGTCTGTACCACAAAAACATAGAAGCTTAAGTATTGTTTTTAGCAGCTATTATGTAGACAGACTGCTTGCCACAGAATACACAGTGGATATTGTTTCTTATATTTGACCACTGAAATCACCCTAAACCTGAAATCTATGACAAAAGGGCAGAATGATGAGTTTCTTGAGAGCAATTAGTACTTGTGAAGTATTTTAAACTCAATCTGCTCTAAGCAGGCTTATAGTTGCGTAGTTCCCCAGACACTTCTGTAAGACCCTGGAAGTGTGCCAGGGAACAGGCTCAGCGCTGGAATGAGCTCTCTGGAGCTTTGCACTTCACTGTCTGTTTGTTGTATTTTTCCATTTTGCACTGGGAGGGAGGTGAGTGAGTAATTATAACTGTGCTTGAGCAATCGACACAGCATGGCCTGTGGCTAGCTATGCAAAAGGAATTTAAAATAGTGCAGACTACAAATAATTCCCACTGTCCTCTCCAATGTGTTGTGGCAATCTGGTTAAAAGAGTCGTTAATCTCACAGCATTTTCCTGTCACTTTAATTACTCTTTTGCACGCCCTGTCATTTGTGTTACAAGTGATTTTTTTAGGCTTCTGCTTTGACTGCGACTTACAATCTTAATAAAAGACTGTAAAGACATCACAAACAAAAAGACTTCTCAGTGCTAAAATATAATGAAAAGAGTTCCATGGAGCAGAACACTCACAACAGCACTGGTATAATTCCATTTTGCTTTACACTCAAGACCGAATGTTGCTGCCAAATTAAAATGAGCTCCTTCCCAAATGCAATTACCTGATTTCTTATAGCACTAACACATCTGCGATATAAATATTAGCATACCTCTGGCCTCTGGTATTATTTACAACGCTTAGCCCTTGCTCCAGATAAGGATGTTGGCGTCTGCTCTGCTTTGTGCTTGGTCGCCACTCTATTACCTATAAAATGATGGTTGCAATAATTTTCAAGTTGTTTGTGAGCATTACAACTGTAATGCTCCAAAAGCATTAGAATAAGCTTCTCTACATGATTATTTACTGGAAAACCAGAAAATAAGAACTCATAAAACAAAATAGAAAGTACTGGTGAGAGTTTAAATAAAAGGAAACTTCAAGTGTTTTTCATGGTAACTTGCAAGCTCTAACAGGAGGTGCCCCATCCTGGAATCAGACCCAGGGACTAAGAGCTACAAGCTGTACAGGTATGTATATTACAGACACTGTGTATTGTAAAGTCACTGCTCATTAATTTGATGCCTTTTGTGGGGGCTTGTAGCTAAGCCAAAGCTAAGCCAAATGTCAAATTTTCAGTGAATACTTTAGGAGGTTTCCTCAAAGGACAGACTCGGTTCACCGAATGCGACTATGAAACATCTCAAACATGGCAGCCTTGAATAACAACTCTCTCCCTCCGAGGAAATGTAGAGCACTAGGAACCACTATTAAGAAGTGCGATAGCTAAGCATAAATATGAAAATCATGTCTCTCTTACATAGTCCTGTTATATATATACCCTTTATATTTTACCCCACATTATGTTCGTATTAAGACTAACTATTCGCATGGTGAATGCAAAGAAAATTCAACAAGAAAGTGGATGGGGAATTTCAAACAAACAGAAATTGTTCATTCCATTATCCCACTTTGTATGTCTGGCACTCCACAAAGTGCTGCTAAGACACACAAACAATAGAATTTGTGTTTGCACCGTATCCTGTTATGGATCCTTTGTAACTGGATAGTAACAGTAGTCACAGCTTGCTGAAAACTTGTACAAATGCAGATTGCTACCAGTATTGTATGATTACTGTACAGCACTTTAATAAACATTCTGGTATTCATGTGAGCCAGGGACACAATGATAATGGTAGGTTAAATTAAATTCCATTGATCTAAGTAAAAACCAACCACCCTGTGTTTCATAATAATCAGATGTTTAAACCATGCAAATACAGACTACATTTTTCTACACATAAAGCATACGTTTGTAAATGTTTGAACAAAACAGAAGTGTTGGCCAAAATGTAAAGGCAAACAATTCAATGATCTGCTATTTTTCTTAAAGGAGCTAGGCAACATGCTGCATGTAAAAAGATGAGTTGGCCTACACTTCCTGATTTTCAACAATTGTGGTTGAGAAACTGAAAAAACTAAACTTTTTTCAAGTTAAAAATAATTGGGTATTGTCACACTCACTTTGCTGGAGCCCTGTGGCTGTCATTGACATGACAGCTGGTCAGACTTCTACTCACTTATCACTCAGCGCCAAATACCATGAAAACTAATCCGACAGGAGACCTGGACCACCTGAAGGTAATTTACGGCCAAGCCCGCCTCAGGTGGTTCAGGATACTTAAATTCTGATCTGACAGTGCTCATTTAGATTAGTCTCTGAGCCTCTCGAGTCTTCTGCCCCTTTATTCCCTAGTTTAGTTCCCTAGTTGCTTGTGGGGATAGGCTCCGGCTCCCAGGATATTCGCTAGCTAATGCTGTGTGTGGATTCCTGACTTCGCTTTATCTTGACCTCTTTTTCTGATCACCCCTTATTACTCCTCTGTATTACTCGGCATGTACCCTGCTTATTAAAATGCACCCTTTCTTGGATTCTTCCTGAGCTTTGCTACCGTGTTTCCTGGATCTGACCCTTACTTCACTGACCCTGACCTCTCTTGTGGATTCCTCTAAGCGTTCTGGACTGTGTTTAGTTTTACACTGACCCCCACCTGATGATATTAATAATAATAATTCCTTACACTTTTATAGGACTTTCCTGGACACTCCACTCAAAGCTCTTTACAGGTAATGGGGATCCCCTCCACCACTACCATTGTGTAGCCCCCACCTGGATGATGCGACGGCAGCCAGAGTGACCCAGTACGCTCCCCACACACCAGCTCTCGGTGGGGAGAAGAACAGAGTGATGAAGCCAATTCATAGGTGGGGATTATTAGGAGGCCATGACTAGTAAACCCCAGAGGGAAATTTGGCCAGGACTCCAGGGTAACAGCCAGACTATTTTTGAGAAATGCCCTGGGATTTTTGATGACCACGAAGACTTAGGACCTTGGTTTTCCCAGAACGGAGGTTCACCTTATGACTCAGAGATGCGCTGCTTAGTTACTCCATAAGCAGCGGATTATTGTACATAATGTACATAAAAAATGGCGATTAAAAAAAAAAAAACAAATGCACAAAATAAAAAATGAACACATTCTGCAAAACATTACCAACGACATAAAAACAAAAGGCGATTCCAGGAGCAGATGAGTAAGACTGATATCAGGTTCAAAATCAGTCCTACAACAGCAAAGGCTTAGATTACTGTTTGATAAGCAGTTCAGTAGAAAAGCATATCCCCCCCATTTGTAATGGGACAGTAATTAAGATGGGATCAAATCTGAGAGGTGAAATACATGGAAAAGCAAGCCAAGAAACGCATTTAATTAGGTTATCAATTTGAAAGACAAAATACGCTGCCCTGTGGTAAAAGGACCAAATTAATTGATTACGCAGGAAAATCAGAGTATCAATTATTTTAATTAAGATAGTTAAATAATAAAAGCTAAGAGAGATATGAATACCCCATGATGAGACTGATCTAGCTACAGTACAGTAGCTGTATAAATTAAGCCGACATACAGGAAGACATACAGATCTATTAAGATAGAAAAGATCCAGAAAGACAGATATACACACAATATAAAAGTATAACCATTTTTCTACTTGTAGAAGTTAAATTATGAGAGACTTACCCAAACATTGTGGTAGGGGTCTGTCTGATTGCCTGGGTCATAAATAAGACAATTTCCTCCATAGTCTCTCTCCGGCAGAGGGACGCCCAGTCTGGGGTCGATATACTTCATGAACTGCCTCCCATCGTGCACAGTCTGTAAAAACACATCGAACAAGCTAAGTAGCTTTTAATCATCCACAGTGCAGATTCTGAAGTGTTCCGTCAACATGTCGCCAGCGAAGCACTTTAACAGATCAATCAGAAAGTGGCAGAATCAAAGGTCACACTTTCGGATTATACCTCTTAAGATCATCTGAAAGCTACTTCAAAGTCTTGCAGCTGCACCTGTGGTGTAGGCAGGTGTGAACACTGCTTCCACGGCCTCTGCCACAGAGAACAACTACAGTGGTGGAGTGTAGACTTGTTCAGTTAACATGCAAAATGTCTCACAATATGAATTCATACTGACATTTTTGGAAGATTTGAAAATATATTAATAATATCAAAGACTACCATTTTATAATCATAGTTAAGCTAGAACAATGCAGTTTGGTATAACTAGCTATTATCAGCATTGAGATTTTACAACAGTCTAATCCACCTTGGTTTTTGTATGAGCTGTATTTTTAAGAGAAGCATTACTGTGTGCTCTGTACTTTGAATGCCACGGTGTACACAATCATAGGTGTCTTATCAGATTTGTCAATAGCAGTTGGCTAACTTATCAAAATACTCCAGAGTGATTTCTAGCTGTAATTCGAGTGTTTTCTCTGGCGATGGAAATGCAGTGAGCAGAAACTGCATTTATGGTCTCTGGAAATTACTATATAAATTTGTCTCATGGGCTTTCAACCCCTTTGCAGTCTCAATGAAAGGTTGTGGCAAAGATTTCTTTTAAAAAAGCCACAAAACTAATCATAAACTACACATTTCTGGATTTTCTTTCATTTATATTTATTTCTGAATTTTGAACTACTGTAATTAAGAAAATTTGGTTATTTCCAAACAGAATGCTATGATCAGAATTTATATTGGATTTTGAAGAATGACACTTTCATCTTAAAAAAAACTACAACCAAGAAAAACCTGTCCTATAAGGAAATATAGTGAAAAATATACAAATGCATCACATAACTAGAAAGAATCCAAAGAAACCAGCTCAACACCTCTTCAAACCAGTAATGTGCACCATTTCTATGTTCATATATCTTATTTGTTTGTACCGATCATGACTTGTGCACAAAGAACAAAGCCCAGTCTGACAACCCTCCGTGAGAGTTTCAAAAACCTCCTTTCAGTCTTCTTGAAAATGAAAAGGGTTCTTCTTCCTTACCATCTGTACACATCAAAAGCCACTTCATTCTTCGTGTTGCTGCCAGCCGGAGGCTAACCCAGCAGACACAGAGTTCAAGGCATGGCTACACCATGGACGGCCACTGTCCCATCACGGGACACACAGATTAAACAACAGTTAATTAATACAAGTCTCCAGGAAGTGAGAGGAAATAAAGCACCTGGCGAACATCCGGACTCCACACTGGTGCCCCACTACACTATTAAAGCCTGGAACCCAAGAGCTTGCCCAGTTATAACTCATTGCTGGTTTCCTTTTAAAAGTAGACATATAAAAGCATAAAACTTTATACAGAAAATGAGCCCATCTTGTGACATACAAGACAAAACATTTTGCTGGGCCACCAGTCTGTCTGGCAATGTCTCGGACAGTGCAGGAATTCTCTCCCATTCTTGTTGTCATGCCTGCTCTTGCCAAAGTTTGGCAAACAGCACTAGAATCAGCACCCCGACAGACCAACCTGTCAATCAGCCATCTGCCAGAATGACTAGATCAGAGGACAGGTCAGGCCCACCTGTTCACACCTCATACTTGAATACAAGACCTGCCTCTCCAGGACATCTCCATCGCATTTCAGCTAGTCTTGGCATTCTCCGCCAGTTTACCTTGTTCCGTGCTTTATTTGATTGTGCTTTAAGTTTGGGTTTGTTTTTTCGTGTGTCTTCAATTGATTTTTATTTCTGCCCACTCCTCAACTTTGCCATCAGATTCCCATTTGTACAGTAAACTGTCATCCAGTCTTCCCGGCTCTGACCCTTTGCCTGTTTTCGGAGAACTGCACTGGACTGTGTTTTGTAGGGCGTGTTCTCCACCCTCAGCAGCCAGCTACTTACCTGCAGCCTCAGATCGCAGCTCGGGGGGGTTCAAACTCCCAAGTTTTCCACCCCTGTCCCACCATACTAACGGGAGAGGAAGGATCATTCGGGTCCGGATCGAGCACCCCGCTGGCCCCAGGTAGCGCAACCCAGAACACGAAAGCCTACCCAATCCCAGCAGCTTCCAGAGCAATTCAAGTAATTACAGAGACAAGACACACAAGGAAATAGCAATGTCCACCTGGGGTTGTTCAGCTGGCAAATTAGATAGGCACCGTTAGTGGCTGGACCAGTCGGGAGCCCTGCTGTGACCTGCTCTTAATAAAAATGTCAACAAGTTAGCAGTGCATAGATCAGTGATCCCACATTATACTGGTGACATTAACAAATCAAGAAGCAAGCCACAGCAGATCCCTTGAGGTCACGAGAGCTCGACACCAATATCCAGCTCTATGTTGAACACAGTCGGCTGTAGACAAATGGCACTAGCTCTCTGCTTACCTGGAACAGAATGAAGATGAGAAAGAGCTCATACACGACGCTGACACACAGCCAGAACCTCCAGTATGCTGGAAAGAGAGAAAAATGAAAAATCAATGCTACAGTCAAGTGCACAGACACAGTAACATCCAGCTGAACTGCTAATGTTTTCTTTGTACTCCCGAATGTAGCAAATATCTTTTGCCATGATTCTTTTCCACATTAGCATAAATTCCCTTTTCGTAACAGGAAAAAAAAGGTTGAGGGCACAACATAACTTGGATAAGGATAAGGATATTTTACTCCTCAAAGTAAATATGTCACATTTAAATATTTTAATGTACAAAACCTCCCAAGAAATTCCTATTGTAGTTATATACATAACTCTCGGTTGCACCAGGAGCTGGTATTTGTTACTGTGGAAAACAAGTGTTTCTTCAGGTTTTAGGAAACATGCGAGTTGCCTGATGGTCAGCAGGGTATTAAATAAAAGGGGCTATAGCTACTCAGGTCCCAAGGGTTTTTACTAATTAAATTCAATGTAATAAAGAGGGCCTGTGTTCATCTGAAAAGGTGTTATTTGTAATTGGACCCAGACTGCCGTGTTCCACTTAATTCAGGTTGATGCTAAATTTGGTTGGTGAAATATATTACACTATGACTTAATGCATTCAATCTGAGATTAAACAGGAATGCTCTCTTCACATTCTGATCCACAAAAAGATTAACTGTAAGAGTTTGATACTGTGGTCTGACAGACAGCAACAATTACATGTTTTCTCACAAGGGGCAAAATCCTCCTAGAAACTAGCTGAAGGGGCCTGTGAACCAGTATTCCACAAACAAGACTGTGTGAATAGCCTCTTCTTGTTGAGCTTTCATGATCTTCCACATTTTTCTTCACAAAGCCAATACTCTCTGGGTTCTAAACGAGCGTGTTTCTGAACACACTCTGTGGAGCCGAGCTACAGAACTCATCCAAGTACAGAAAACAAATGTTAACGTCTGATGAAAGGTAAAAGAACTGAGCTCATTGCTTTTGCATTTCAAGAAAACCACAGGTGGTACAAAGTTTAACAGCACCTGTACTGATTTATCCAGTTGACGAATGAAGCACAAATTGTCAGCAACACTCATACTGCTCAGGCATTATTTATTCAGCAGAAAAATGTAGATGAATTTAATTGTATTTTGATAACTTGAAAGTGACTAAATCACATGTCCTAAATAATTCAGTGTCAGTACATTGCCCTCAGGCACTCACATTAAAACTAAGGCTTTACAGAAACCTAGAAAACATGGAACTAAAGTACTGCACACTAGCAGAATATGGTGAGACTATTCATATAGCCTGAGGTTTCTATGGCCTGTTGCCAGGAGGCTGCAGAAGCCCTACAATAAATAAATACAGAAGCCATCTTTAGAAAGCATACGTTTAGTACAGGGTTCCTGCATGGTTCATGGTTGAAATACAGATCTTACAGATCTCACAGGCTGTGCCTCTGGCTGGAAGTGAAGAGACTGAACTGGGTCAGGTCTCTGGACTGCCTGCCTGCTCTTTAACACACAGCAGCAATATCTGGAGAAGAAGGCCAAGCATCATTGCAGTTCAGCATTGGTAAGTGCATTTCAAACCGCAATGAAAGTAAAATGCAGAAAGTAAATTTGTTCACATACTTGTCATGCTAACTATTCCATCAAAAATAAATGTATCAGTGTTTCCTGCTCAACTAACATCACCCAGCAGCCATATAAAACACAGACTGCAGTTCTTGGTCTGGTATCCAAGCTGCCAAATCATTGCTCTCTTTTGTAGATTACGCTTAAGCCCAATATCTGATATAGCTTTGAGGGAGTTAATCTGGCTCTGGCTGTATTAACTGTTCAGCCTTGGGCATTCCTAAAACACAGAGGAATTTCAAAATGCTCTGAAGTACAAGCCTTCAGCAAATGCTGTCACAGCATAACCCAGAGGCATTTTAGGCCCCTAAACTTTCCTGGGCAAACTACAAGCACAACAAATAATAACAACAACAGTGATAAGGACTATATGTCCAAATGAATAATGAGTAAAGGATTCATTGTCAAAATTTAATAGATTCATTTAGATCAGCATTTACAAAATCCAGACAACATGCTTCCCTCTACCAATTTCTGCTTACTTGTGGTCACCTGACTACTGACATTTTTACATTTTTCACAAAAGAGAAATCCAAATTTCAACATTGTCAGGCTAGCTGAAAGACAAATAATTACTGCCTAAAAGTCTGCTAAATTTAAGGAACACCATTTCACTGCCTTATTACTATCATGCTTTTGTTTCATTTATCTTATTCTAGAGCTAAAGGCTTAATGATTAAGAAAAGCACAAATATGTCCAGCTACTGGAGAAAGCATATTCATGAGAAAAACGAAATGTCACAAACCTGAATAGGCCACTTGCCCATCTATATAGTTTTAGCTGCTAATTAATTGGGGAATCTCATCTCATTTCTTGCAAGAAATTTACTACATCTATTTGAACAACATAACTGGGTAGCTTGTTGCATACTCACACAGCTAAAAAAGTGGTTCCTGTTTAGAGATTTAATGCACTTCCCCTGGTTTGTTTGGGCTTCTTAGTCAAAGTCTCTGAGGATTCTGAGGACTTGAATGAGTTCCCCTCCTAGTCTGCTCTGTTCTTCTTGAATTCAGAACAGCAATATCATTTTCATAGCGTGGTGACCAAAAGTACACCCAGGCACTAATGCTTTTCACCATTTCAAACCAATATTTTTTTTATTTAAATTATACACTTCTTCTTATTTATATCAAAATGCATTGCGGCACATCCTAAGAACGATTTCAGCAACTTGAATGTGCCCTGTCCAGAAGCAGGACATTTTATATTCGTTAACCACAGGATCTTTCTGAAGGGTTTGTGACATGGTGAGCGTTCCGGCGGCGGACTGAATGCCAGGTTTCTCATTCAGTAAAGCTTACTCACTTGCTAATGCATTATTAATGAATAACAGTAAACTCTGACTGAGCTTGGTATAGAAAAAAAGAAACAACAACAGATTAACATATTTAAAAAGCTCATTTAATTTTGTCAGATGGAACTAAGAGCCTCGGTCAAGGCTGTAAAGAGACAGAGACAGGAGCCTTTGCACTGTACTCAGGGCCATGCCCGTCAGTGCAAGCGCCTCGTCTCTCTTCACTAATAATTGGATGTGTGGGAAAGCACTTTGCAAGTCACTGAGCACTGTATCCTCAAGCAGAAAGACCAAAAGCTCTCAGACCAAGGCTTTCATGTCAAGAACTGTTTCTTTGTGCCCTGCTGGACGAAGCTCGGCTGATTTCCAGCAGAAACCATGGGAGTTTTCTGTCATTTCTCTGCATACATTCTTAAACCCAGATTATAGCACCCTAAGCATTCAAACCCAGAGCTCTTATTCACAGAAGGAGGCCAAAACCACTTCTCAAAATGCCTTTTTTAACTCAGCATCTGGAATCCTAAAAACACAGAGCCCTAACATGAACTGCAGCACTCCACAACACACAGGTATCCAGGTTTGGCTGTGTGTTTTTAGGATCCTGTATCACTTTTTTAACGACAGCTATCTGCTAAAGCACAAAGTTCTGACAGCACGTTTGTCACAGAACACGGATCTTTTCTTTCCCCACAGGGGGCCTGTGCTAGGCAACTACACTACACAGGAGACCAAAAAACGTATTTTGCAATCCTAACATTCTTTGGGATTTCACAATGCTATCTTCAACACTGTAAGAGTGTGGCACCATGTTAACAGGATTTCAAGTGTTTTATAACAGAAACAAGTAAGAAGCCCCAATCAAAAGTTCTTTGGAACCGAAATGATTTTTCTATTTAGATGTTTCAAGAAACAGCACTGTGTATCCGTGGGACCTCCGATTTCTAAAACACAGCAATAATGTTCTCTGTCTACTGGACATTATGACAAAGTGTGGGGAAAACGAGAAGGAATGTTAGAAGTTCTCCATCTTGTTCCAAGTGCAGCTGGGTCACACTGCCCACTCCTATTATCAACAGCCTCTACTGCGCCAGAGGTCTGACAGCAGGTTTATCACGGAACACGCATCTGCATGGTGCTGGGAGCATGCACTGTGTGTGCCTCTGTAGAGGTCACTGCTATTATATTGCCTTTTAAGTGATAACGACCTCTGTGACACCGGCATGAGACAGTGTCCGAGCTCACCTCTCCCTTTTCTTTACAAGGCACAACAGAAGCAGCACCCCACATTCCACAGCTACGTGCTTTATCACAAATAAAGGAAAGGCTCATGCACTGCGATTTCACCTGTGCTCGGGAGTGTTTAACACTGAACTGTGCTCTACAGATCTACAGAAATGTGAATTTCTCAATCACGGGTTAATCATTAGCCTAGTCTAAATCAGAAAGTGCCACCACTGTTATTTTTTACACAATAGTTATGGCAAATTAAGGCAGTTAAATTATGCATGTGTTCTGTACATCCCTGTGGCTCTAAAGCAGATAATGGCTTCCTATAGATGTTTTTTTTTAAAAAGCAAAAATCAATAGGCCATTATTGCACTTATGCACTGAGAACCAAGTCTTTCTTTTGTCTCTCCACCAACAAGTAGACGGCCTAATTATACTCAGATTACTTCCACATGATTTGCCCAACTGCACAAAGCAGGTCACAAGCGGTCCTCACACCACAAAGACAGGATTCAGTATTTCCACAACGAAGAGCACAACTCCCCAGCAGGACAGGTTACCATAAGACTTTACCCCCCTTAAATGAAGCTTCTGTTTTGCTTTCAGCAGCCCCATTAGACCGCCTCATCAACGTGACCTGGGGGACAAAGCGTGCCACTTCACATGAACTCCTAGAGGCTGAGCTCTGGAAGGATCCACAGGGCTCGCTCAGTCCAGTCCCTGTGCATTGTTTGTGGGAGTTACACATCACAGGCCTTCTTTCAGCAAACAAACAAAGAGCAGCCGACCAAAAACAAAGGAGCAAAGCCCGTATTTATGAAAGTAAACCAACTCTCAATGACATATAAAGCTGGTAGACATTGCCAATGGAACTTCCAAATGCCAGGGGTAAGGCAGTACCGTGCAGTTGAATGCACCAATACACACATTTTCATGGCCAGCCAAAGAAACTACCCTAAAATGTAGGGTGGCGAGCTCACACTTCACACCCCCTGGAGGGAAGCCCAGAGCTCTTCTACTGGACTTGGGTTGGAACCACCATGTTTCTGATCCACAGCCTGTTCCACACTACCGCTGTCCGATTCCTTCTCTTAGCAAAAACTTGTGATCACAAATGGCCAAGGCTTCGGCCCCACCAGCCCATCCTGTAGACCGTAGGTGAACTGATGCCCCCACTGTTCCAAGGACCCAAGGTACACCCGGCCATTTCTTGAAGGAAGCCAGGATTTTGGCTTCGACAACATGGCTGGGTATCTTGTTCCAAACTCCCACAACCCCTTGCATGAAGAAGTGCCTTCTGAATGGAGTAGAAGCTGCGCAAACTAACCATCAAACCTTGCATGAGGCATATTAAACAGCACAGTCAACAGAAAGTTTCCCACCCAGCGATATTGCAGTGAATTACCGATAGCTAAATTAAGATATTTTACACGCCATGCCATACGCCTGACAGCGTAAAAGGAGATGCTGGAAAATTTGTAAAAGGTGAGGGAAAGCAGATGTAGCAAAGGTCCCTCCAAGACCTCTTTTTCTGTCACATCATGAGTTCTTTATCCTGAGTATCACACACAAAAAAATCAACACATTGATATTTGAGCTCACTGGGGAACGTTACCTGGGTGGGGCCTGGAGAATGGCCCGTCTTTAGCCTGCGTCACGCCAAAGCACAAGAACACCAAGATGCTGGCCACAATGCCCCTAGAAAACAAAACCGGACAATATGAGCGCAAGGTTCAGAATTAGGGAAGAACTGTTGCGATGATTACACCTTGCTATTAGAATTCATGGAACAATAAAAAAATATTTTCTAATATAACATAAAACAAAAGGAAACATAAAAAACATGCTTTATAAAAACTAAAGCAATGTGAGCCAAAACATCCACCTTCTATTTCACTAAAGAACTCTTTCCTTATCTGAACATTTGGAATCACCTTAGTACCACCAACGTAGCTTCCTGACTACACCACCTACTCCACTGTGGGAGAAGGGGCCCACAGACAGGCTCCTCTGACACGCCCATCTGCCAGAGCCATTCATCTTTTGACACACTATGGTTCCCGGATGAGAAAGTTAGCGCTACTTGGAGGAGAAGCGCCACTCTCGCCAATCTCTCTGCAAGCTTGAAGTCATGTTGGCTCAATCACAGAGCCCTGGACTGACTAATGCCTCCCGTCACCCACCCAGACTCCGCCAGTCGTGTCCCAGCGCCACCTGGTCACAGTCAGCCTCAAACCGGCAAAATGTGGGCAATAGGGCTCAGTGTGTTTGCTGAGTGGGCACTCAAAGTGGTCTTTTCTGCTTTTCATATTCACTGAAAGACCCCTTGATCCCCAGGCACTGCTGGGTCTGACAGTGTATGGAGCAGAAAAATAGCGGGAAGGCATCATGGATTCACTTCGCCCGTTATGGTGATTTCCTTGAGAATTAATGGTCTGGTTTGCGGTCTCACCACAAGACCCTAATCAGCGAAGGGTAAGGATGAAACTTGTCTTTTTCATTACCAGGCTGATTTAAATGAGGCTTCGCTACTGAACAGTGTGTATTATAAGGTGACTGACATACAACAAAAACAAAAAAGGCTAGCCGCCTGCATCAGCCTGATTGTCTTTTTTTTAAACCCACCTTCAGCCCCCACACTTTAGAGGACTTCTTTATTTTATTTTTTTTCCACTCTCTCATTTTTCTTCTTATTAAACAATACCAAAAAAAATCTAACATCCACAAAAAAAAAAAAATAATTCAGAAACATCCTACTAATATTCAGCCTGACTGTCTTTGAAGCACAGCAGCACACAGACCCAGATCACTTTCCACTCGGTCTCTTTTCAGAGCCTCTTTCCTCGAACAGCACACACCTTCCCTGGATTCCCTGCCTCCCACCACTCCTGGTCCTCTGAGACAGAGCAACAACGTGTTTTTTTACATTTCCCATAAAAACAGCATAACCTGTTCTCTTGCCATAAATGTGTGTGAGCTATCCTCACCTTTCCAACCTTTTCAACGACCTGACCAGTTGCAGTGATTGATTCTTTGCTGAGCTCCAGTTTGGGCTCTTACTCACTGTGTGCCAGCCAGAGTGAATTCCTGAGCCCGTTTGCAACAGGAGCTGCCGAGACATCACTTAGACATCACAGAGTGTCCTCCTGGCATAAGCAATGTCTCAGCAGCTCCTGTTGACTACTGAGAGATTAACCCCTAGTCTTTGTATGTTACGTATGGATAACAGCCTGCTGACAGGCAATTGAGTGTGTTTGCTGTAATTCGAATCTGGAGGTTCAAACCGTTCCAGTGATACACATGAGTCAGGGTTCAAAGTAAAGGATCCTAAGCAGCCTTGTTTCATCAATGGGGCTTCTCCCTCCAGCAGAGCAAGAGCTATGAAAAAGTAATGGAGCAGCAGGTGTTTGAATATGATCTTCTGCAGGCCAATTCTTTCACTTATCCAACATGTAACCTTTGCGTAATTGCTGAACAGTGACCTCTCCCACTGAGAAAGATTACAGATTTCAGTTAGACTTAACTCTTCTGTGTTAAAGAGCACTCGACAGGTAACCACAGGTCTGTATTTAAGCTGAAGAAGATCTGACGAGTGCGGTTCTGCAGTTTGCAGACATATCCATATAGGTCTTTTTCTTAACACATCTTCTGCATTTCAGGAGGGTGTTTGTGCTGTATATGAGGTACAACAGCATTTAGAAATGTCCCCATATCTTCCGAGTTGATTTCTGCTCTCTGGAAGGCCTTTTGTAATAAACCATATCTCAAAATGACACAGAACTGCGCTGTTACATCAAGCATCCCCACAGGGGTGAAGGAGCTGTTGCGTGCTGCAGCCCGACATAAAAAAAATAGGTCGACAGTGAGCCACCAAGGTAGGGTTGGGATTAGATGTCCATGGAGATCACAGAGAGACGCCCTGCTCCTGCAACCAGCACCAACTCTCCCATCAGGCACTGTGACGGCTGCAACATGCCACAAGATGAGGGGCGCTGTAGGTGGAGCATGTTGACATTGCTGCCAGAGAGCCACGTTTTTTTTTTAATTTAAAGACTCCAAATTGGGTGGGTACCTACGATGTGTTAAAAAAAGAAAGTGCACCGTCTTGAGTTTTTTTTAACACACCTAGATATTTTATCTTCACCTAGTCCTCACAGACACCTGATAGTAGGTAAAACTAACCCCATGTGACAAATAACATATGTAAATTCTACTTCATCATTATTTATTTAAAAAAAAACAGACACCTTTTTGGTTCAGCTTGAGCTGTCAGACATGGTCCAACATTTTCCTCTAGACCCTGGTATGGTGGGGAGTTCATGGCAGACTCAATTACAGCAAAGCAGACCCAGACCATCACCCTAACACCACTGTGCAAGACGGATGCTGTGAGGTGTTTTAGGTCAAAGTGCATGATGGCCAAACCACTCCCCTTCTGACTCATCTGTCCAGAGCACACTGTGCCAGAAGTCTTGTTTTCTTGTTTGTTTTACAAATTTAAGCTGTGCAGCAATGTTCTTCTTGAAGAGCAGGGGTTTCTTCCATGTGAGCCACTCTTATTGAATCTTCCCCTGATGGGGGGCTCATGAACTCTGATATTTACCATTTTGGTGCTCCTGATTCTACATATCCTCTCAGCTGAGATGGTAAAGCTAAGGAGCACCTACGTTTCCAAAGACATTAAATGTTGGCTGTTATTTTTTTCAAATAAAGAAAAAAGTTTTGTTTGTTATTTTTCAAATTAGGTTAGTTTTATCTGTTATTCGTGCTTAGTGAGGACTAGGTGAAAGTCAATTATTTCTAAATATGTTAAACAGAAGCTTAAGTACTGTACTTTAGTACAACTTTTTCACCACAAGTGTAAATAAATGGCAACATCACACACAGCTGGCTCTATGTTTTGATGGTTTTAAAGTTCATGAACATATCGGGCCAACAATCAGAAAAAAGCAAAACGTGGCCTCCAATAACTTGGAAAATCTGCCAGGATGGAGCCCAGGCTGTTCTCGGCAAACAGTGAAAATCTGACTTCCACTGAGGAGATCGTCCTTTGGTGGCAAAAGCGCTTTCAGGGGCAGTGGACACTGCATTATTAATGAATTACCATAAACTTTGTGCTTGGTACAGAACAAAGCAAGTAGAGAACTTGACAAAAACAAGTGACTTCTCTACTTTAATATAAACCTAGATGCGATTTGAGACTAAACATCTGAAATTGATCCTGCTTCTGAAGTGGTCAGCAGAAGCGCAGTTGTACAGTTGGGTTCACCAGTTGGCATCACACTTCTGATGAGCAGGAAAGCCCAGAAACCCCATCACCCAGTTTGTTTACCACAAATCTGGAAAACTTCTAAAACAGCACCAACTCACTCATTTTGCGGAAGGTCTTTTAATAAGACAGACTGGGAGGCCGGGAAGCTGTGGCCCTGGTTTGAAAAAGGAAGGAAGTTCGCAAAGTCTTCCTCCAAGGACCTGCTGCCTTTATCAACAGGAAAAGAATGGAAGTGAAAATGCCACAAGTGACCCGGTGCCACATTCAATTTCCTCAGAGCGCTTCACAAAAAGGTTCTGTCAAGCTACACCCGTTATTCCTGTTGCATCTGGGAAAGCCTGGATGCTGAGAATTCAGTGTGGTTTGTTTTGGTTATGCTAAGGAACTATACCTTTGTTTTGATTTACTTTTATTTGATTAACAGTGACTGATTTTGACTATTTATAGATTGCATTTTTCTTGAGCAGAAATTATGTGCAGTTATTCTTTTGCACTGGAAAATAGGTCAACCTCACTCTTTAAAAATAACATATGCCTTCTATTTTTTTTCTTTGGTCTACCGGAGTTAATAATAGACTTTGCATATGCAGATATAATATAGTTATAATTTACTGACAGGTCCCCTAGAGCTTAAACTTTAGCAATATCACAGAGCACAATTCTTAGACAAATCCACAATAACAATTAAGCTAAATTGGAACACACATGGGAGGAGGGGTAAACACACAATACAACAAGAGCAACAAGAAAAATACAAGTTTTATTAACTACTGCCATTATCATTTCTCATATCCTCATGAAGTTGTACAACTGAACTCCTGCAAAACACTCCTTTATCCGAAATTAGTGAGTCTTAAAAAAAACACTGTTTGGAGAATTGGGCACTTAAAGGCAACAAGAAAATAGTTTCAATTTGAACATTTCTCACAGTATCCCAGTAATCATATTCAGGATTTTGTAACATTTCATTGAAAACCCGACTGTCTCCAACACAAGTTTGACTTGCTGTGCCCTAAAAATAAAAGCACTGCATTTCATTATCAACATAATAGCACCATGTCATTTTAAGCCATCAGGTTAATTCTTCCAGGGACACAGCAGATTGTGAAGAATTTAATATTATAGCAAGAAAACATGAAAGGTATTAAATTTGAATCTAGTTCATGCAAGAGGGTTTTGCAAACCACAGCAGTTTTAATTTTATTTCTAGAATTGGTAGATAAAGCTGGTCTCCAGAGTTCAATAAATAACAAATCCTGAAATGCTGAACACTACACTAGCCCAAGACCAAAATAAAAAACTGCAATTGACCAGAGGACATGTGGCCCGTTTTGCCCATTCAGCAGAGATATTACTCATCCAAGAGCCTCATCAAACATCTTTCTGTTTTCAAGGTATCCACATGAATCACCACCTCGCCTCCCCAACACACACCCACACAGACATTCAAAATTACTACAGCAGCTTACTAAGCAGACTCAAAAAAAGCTTACAATGAGCAAAAAAAACCCAAACATTTTAAACATAAAAATCAGTACCAATCACACAGGCTTGTGCGAGGAACACAGAGTATTCTTTGTCCAGGACAGCCATTGTACTGTCATCTCGTGACATGCACTAGGTCTGCAGCCTCTGCTACCAAGCCAGAGCAGGCAGTTAAGCTTCTGCTCCTCTACTGTTTTCCTCACCTTTTTGTGTTGTAGGCCGTGTCCTGAGGAGTCTCTTCAAGCAGTGTCACATACCCCAGCGCGCATGTCAGGATGAACAGGACTGTTAAGGTATGAGCCCTCCTGTAGGGAGGAAACAAGGGAAAAAGCTTCAGGCACATAGTCACACAAACAACTGAAAAGCAGGTGGGCTCCTGAAACAACGGTGTTTGTATTGGTCTCGCTAACCGACTCTCCAAGTTCAGCGAAAAAAATCTCTACTTCCCTTGAATCTAACAGGCAGCTGTTCGCACGGTAACACCATCCCTAGTAACAGCAGATAAAGGTGACACACAGTTTCTGTTATTTTATTATTATTATTGAAAAAGCAGCGTGGGAGATATTGCTCATCGGAGCTTAGGTACAGAAAATCTGGAATTTCTTTTCACTGAGCAGTGACATTGTGAGTAGCAAAACAACAACATCAAACTGCCCACCTCGCAGGTCAAGAACTTTAATGAAGGTAACATCTCCATTTCTCGCCATTTTTTGTTTTTGCAAGAGTGCAGACCCAAGACGGGAAAAGACCCATTTCCATGGACGTCATTATCTCTAGCGCAAATGGCCTGAACAGTCGGACAATGACTGTGACACAGGGAGCAAATAGCTGCCTGACCCATTTTGGGCATTAAGAGGGACAGTCCTAGTAAAAATCTGATGAGTGCATAAAAGGAACTACAGTATATGGTCTAAAAGAGAAAAGACTATTTCATTATCTATATTAAACACAGACATTATTTTATATACTGTATATAGAAAATAAGGAGGTTTTTTTCTACAAATTAAGTTAAAGGGGTTCAGATCTAGAGAAAATAGCCACCAGGACTGAACTGGATTAAACATAATGATGTGAATTCTCTCCATCCTCACAAAATGGTGTGCTGGACTTCTTGAATTAACTTGAGAGGAAATACATTTCACCATTAACTACTGCTGTGGTATCACAGGAATTACAATCCTTTCCAGAAGACACAGCAAATGTAGAAATATCCACATCTTCTCCATGTATTTCAGTTTAAGGTAACAAGCATGAAATCTACAACGCTTAGTATTGGCTTATACACTTGGACCGCAGAAAAAAAATTAAATGGCTCAAATCACAAGCAACAGGAATTTTATTTAAATCCCTGAATAAACACGACTCAGAACAATACTGCGAACAATTATCCTTCTTGTGTTTCAGACGTTCTCTTTGTTACATGGCCATGGTCAAACTACACATTGGAAAACAAAACCTAGCTAATCTCACATCAAACAGTTTATCAAAATTGTGTCTTATAATGACCAGCACACTTAAACTCCTACCCCAAACCTCGTTAGATATCTTTGGTATATTTCACAAGCTCAACAACAAAGGAAAACGTGGACATTTCTCAGTTAAGAGCACCAACACCATTCTGTGAGTCAGTTAAGAACATACCTGTAAGTGCCTGTAAATTGGGATTGGCCGACTTTCAAACAAGAAAAGACTAAATCGATAAAGATGGCAGGAAATAATTAGTGCTGCTACACTGAAATGTGAAAAATAAAGCAAAGAACACAATCTGCAGAACTTTCTTTCACTTCATTACTTCATCCCTTATTTTAACAAGTAAAGCAATTAAGAACAAGTTGGAGACTCATTAATTCAGCAGGGCATTCTACTCGAACAACCTGTTCCAATCTGTTCACAGTTACAATAGCTGTGTCCCAGCTGGGAATCAAGCTCACAACCCTCTTGTGCAGAACCTGCAGCACTAACCTTGACTCCACACTGCTGCCTGGAGCGCCGCAGTAACAGACTGGGACAGCTAAGCACCACACCTCAAGTTTCAAAGTGCAGACTGGGAAGGTGGACTAGAAAGGGTTTGGTGACGCTGGAATCAATTTACCTGAGAAGCACCATTTATGTGAAACAATCAAATCAAATAATTAAGAATTTGAGTGGACTTGATTAATGAATGATACACAATCAGTAAATTTACTGGTGTAAATAAAACTTCTGTGATGACTTCAAACGAGGATGATCTTTAACCATGACCTCTAAATCTTGATGGTGTCAAAACTTTCCACTGCTCTACTTTTACAGGAGAAAAATGTATAGCTTTCTTTCCCCATTTACAGCTATAAGTGGATATAAAATTCCAGATACTGTAAACCCCAAACCTAAAAATGCCCACACAGAGTGTCCAATAAAAGGATGAGTCATTTTTGCCATGCTTGGAAATCTCCATCACACCTCTCTCAAGACATTCCTTAAGGTCTATGGTAGATTATCATCCAACAGAGTGAAAGGCATTTTTAAGGCAACTGAAGCGCATGTCAAAACATGACCTACCGCATGCTTTATGTCAAGTCGAGAAGGACAAGAGATGTTTTGCCCTTTCTGCTCATAACCCGTTCTGCAAGTAGTTCTACAGCTCCATGCCAACAGGCTTCTCTCACACCAGAAACAACATTCTAAAGGACCACACCTTTCAAAGTACTGCTGCCAGCTTATGTTTCTGCAACCTTCATGCCAAAAATTAAACATTTTTTAAAATAAAATTCACAGTCCAGGCGTCTGTTTTGAGGAAGTACTACAGTTCTTTGGAAAGCCTGGGAAAATGTCCACAACTGCAAAATGCACCTACTTTGCAGAGCACCTTTCCAAACAAACGTACCTGAAAGCCCAACTTTCTTCTGGCAGCTGAAGCATGGATACTTTTTGCTACAGCCCACATAAAGCACACCTGCTGGGGCCTTGGTCACCTTTGGGAGGCTCACACACACCCTTGATGTGCCGTCTATCATAGCAAAAAGACCGAACCCAAGGTTTGTCTGGGCTTACATCCACCTTGACCAACAGCATGAGGAGAGTGTGGGAAGTGTGTGCTTATAGGTGTGTAAGTAGCTCAGGGGGAGGAGGGGGCTGTGTTTATGGGGCTGTCAGATGTGGGAGGACCTTCTGTGTGTGAATAAGGCCCTGTCCTTCAGCCGCCTCATTATTATCTGGCTTAAAGTCTTTAAGGATCTCAGGACACTTTGCTGAAGAAGCACACTGGGGGATATACAGACCCCAAAAGGATTGCAGCCTAATGGTTTGGTGAGTTTGCCCCCCTAAATTCGACCTCTCCACTGCAGAACAGACGAGCATAGAGCCAAATGCCGAAAACACTCTTCACTTAAATATTAAGAATAATACCTTAATAGTGAAGCTAGATCAAAATGATTTCCCTCATCCAGCGCCCACCGAATAAACTGGACTATTTGCTTATTTCTATCATCGTATCCCATCTGTAAAAAAACAGGCTTTTAATAAGGGGTCTGACAAAAATGAATCAAGCCCGAATATGTGATGCTGTCAGGTGATTTTTACTCAATAGCTGCTTAAGGAAGAATGCTTTACTGAGGCAAAAGAGAACTATAATTTCAGCTCCCTTGGAAGCGCAGTTACGTTGCACAATGTGACACCAGCTGACATAACCAACGACAGCACATGAAAGAGATGACTTGTAGGTTTATTGGCTTTTTAGTGATGATTAGAGCCGACACACAAGATGCTGAAACCAAGACAATGGGTGTACTTTTTAAGAAGCAATCTGAAGTAATTCTTTCTCCACACAAATTAATCACGCAAAAGAGGAACAGCGCAAAGACACTCAACTACAGAGCGATATACGTCTCTTGTATTATTAAATAACCTTGAGAAGATGTCATGCCATCACACTCCGTAAAAATACACCAATTATAGTACCTACAGTCACAGCGATATTTCTATCTATAGTTTTTATAACACAGCGATATTCAGTCTTCGCTACACAGTCGTGCTGACCGGATGTTACTGCAGAAATGCCACTACGCCAGATCCCTGACGACATAAGTTCAATGTAGAAATAACTGAACAGCCTGGACAGGTCTTAATTGACAAAATAACATAATCTAGCACAAAGAAACACAACACACCCTTCCCTAATAAAAACTATATGCCATCCGTAAGGGTTTACATTAAAACACCACAAAAAAACACACATTCAAAGTCACAGCGTTACCAACTCACCAGAAAAAGGTGTTGGTTCCATCATCAAACACCTCAGACTCCGTTGTCCTTCGAAAGCTGTTCTCCCTAGATAAATGCTTGGGAGCTTTAGGTTTTACGAGGTCAGGGGTGCCAGTGGGCACCACGGCGTCCATTGTACCGTTGACCTGGTCATCGGCAGACGGTCTCCGCGCAGACACGCTGCTTTTCCTCTCAGGCTTGGTCATGCTTAATTCCTACCGCTCCACAGTCCAGGTTTTTGTACCAGAAGCGCTGCCGCTGTTTTCAACCGGAATCGAAGGCTGTGTGGACTTATACGACTCCGCGTGCAGACATAGTGGGTTTTGCAGGCGAAGTACGGGAAACCATCATGTGTGCAATTCGGTTAGGGAAACCTTTCAGGTTGCACAGTATTGCTCCTTGATGAACTTGTAGTGTGTTCAAAATAAACCGACTATTTCAGCCTTTGCTTGCGTTTTAAATTGCGTTCAGCATACTCCGGTCACTCCAGCACTGGTCTACCGTGAGGGACGTCTTCAGTTTTATTCCTGTGCTCCACCTGACGGACTCCACGCAAACCGAGCTGTCGCAGTAGCCCTTTAAAAAGCGAAGCTACTTGGGTTTGTTTCCGACAGCTACAGAAAAGGGGGAGGAAAGTTGCATCGCCTCTGTAGACACATGCCAGTAACGCTAACCCCTGTGAAATCGCGTGGTTATTCCTTCAGGGGCAGTCGCGTCGGTCAGAGAATCGCGATGTTGTATAATTGAGCTGGGTCTCCGTCACGTTTTCAGGAAATCAGCATGCAAACAATCGATACTACTCCCTTAAAACCGGGTTGCTCTTAACATATCAACGCTGCTGTTCAGAGGAACCTGCGCCGCCTGTTTTTCCAGCTCTACTTGAAACGCAGGCGCACAGACCACTGTTGACCTGCTTAGTGTTGTCACTTCCTACAGGGAATTCAGACCTCTTGCGTCACAAAACTGTGCGATCAGCCCATTGTGAGAAGACCGCCCTCTGCACGTGCCGGAGAGCAGCTGAGCGCCTCTGTCATTGGCTGGATACATTATAATATTATTAGAGCAGAGATGTTTCTTAAAATAAAGGATAAGAAATGTAACAATACTCATCTAAGGAATCTTTGTAAACCCCATTTTATCCCTCCTTGTTTATCTTTTTGGAATGCACTGTTTGAAAATATAAACTGGAAGTTAGTTTGGACAACTCCTGATATTGTATTACAAATAAAGTAAAAGAGATATCGTTTAAAATTGTTCAGAAGTTTTATCCAGTTAAATTAGTGCTCTCTAAATTTAAGCATGAGCAGGATGATCTGTATGTTTTTTTGTGGGGCTGAAAGGGAATCTTTGATGCATTTATTTGTGAGGTGTCGGTTTGTGAAGTTGTTTTGGACGGACTTGCAGAGTTTTGTTTGCAGGCAGTTTTGTGTTTTAGATGTAAGGATTTTGATATTTTATTGTACTGTTTAATAGAACATTTGGAAAAAGAGCATTTATTTATAGTAATTTTATTCTGGGTAAATTTCACATTCATAAATCAAAATGGTCTAATAATCCCCTTTTTAGTACTTCTGAGGTGGAGCTGAAACTATTTAAATTCTATACAAAACTGAGAAATAATAAAGCACGGAGAACATGATAGATGTAAAAAATACAATTTGATCACATAATTTACCTCATTACTTCTGGCGGTTAAATGTTTTTTTCTGTTTGAGTTTTTTCCTGTTGTACCTGTTTCTGATCCTCTGGTTGTAGTTGTATTTGTAAATTCTTTATACGTTTAATACATTTTTTTTAACTTTGTTTCTTAAAGACAGACGCACGCGTGATTGCGAAAACGTCTTTAACGTGCTCTGTAAAGCTCTGGTTCTGTTTCATCAATGAAAATATAAATATATGACAATATATTAATTATTCTTATTATAAGAATTATTCAATTATCCTTCATGCATCTGGAAGATGCTCCACTGTAGTTTCTTTAAAAATATGTTTTTTAATGTATTACTATTAATCCTTTTGCGGGTAAAAATGTAATGTGATTATGTATTCTGATTTGAAGAAGAAATTTAAAAAAATGAAAAGCGTGTCTACAGTAGGTGAAATAGGTAATCGCACTTTCCAGAAAAAAAAAGTCTTGTATATCTTGGGATAAATTTATCAGCCACGTAATTGCATGTGGAACTCCAGATTTTGTTCCCAAAACAGTTCAGTGAAATTCTCAATCAACCTACCTATAGGTTCCTTACAAACGAAACTAGCAAAGATGTGCTCGAATGACCTCAATTTTGTAACGTGATCTATTCTCTTAGACCCTCGAGCATGTTTTCCTGTTTTCCTGCAAGGGTTTTGGACAAACCAAAACGTTTTTCTCTTGAACCTGTCTCACACAAATAAAAGAGTTCTCGTTCTATACACATATAAAAGCTTCAGCTTTTGAAACTTAGTGTTTTCTGTTACATTTCTGCTTATTACAATGAATCTCAAGACGCCCCCAGCCACTGTACCATTCCTGTACTGTAGCGCTGTACTGTATCATTTTGAAAATACTTTAAAATGCATCCGGGAAACATTTGAGTTTTGAACATTTGAACAAATTATTAAATGATTCGGCTCAATTAAGTCAGGGATGTCCAACTGTGGTTCTGAAGCATCACGATGTGTTTGTGTTTTCGTTTAAAATAATCTCCAAACTGCACACTTGGACAAAACCCCTGTTTACATGGCCAGAACGAAATCATTCCAAGTGTTTAAGAACTGATGCTTTAAGGACGACCGGTAACAGCAGCTTACTGGGAGTCTCCTTAACCAGTGTTGGCTTTCCCTGGTCTACAGTAGGTGCCTGGGCTGCTTCCAGACAGCGTGAGGAAACTCAGGTAGGCCAATGGCCTCAGACTCCGGCCCTGGAGATCCCCGTGATTCTGTCTCCTCTGGGTTTTCAGTCACACAGTTGAACTTGATTACCTACTCAATTGTAAAACCTCTAAGCTGCTTCTGAGGTGGTTTTATAGGTATTCATAGAAAAATCCAATATGTCTAAGGAAATAATTGCTCTGGTATGAACAGTCAGGTGAACCCTACCTTGGTTCTTCCATGCCATGCTGTTTTTTTTTTCTGAATTGTTCATTAATCGATTAATTGATGACCTTGCCCCATTATCCCAGGATCTCCATGTCAGTTGTCTGTTCATGTTTTCCCCATTCCAGGGGATTTTAACTTTGTCATGTCTCAGGATGGACCTTTTGCTAATGGACTCTTGGACTGTGCCCTGACCCTCCTTTGAACCTGCTCGGATTTGGACACCACTCTTTGGGTCCCCCGCTCACTGTCTCACGGACTGTCGCTGTTATTTTGTGTTATTACAGTGTTAACTGTTATTAAACCCCTGTGTGCGTTCCTGTACCACACCTCCTGTTTCCTCCAGCTCTTACCGTATCGCATAGGGTCTACTACAAAACCCAACATGGACTACAGACCTTGTCCATAACACCCTCTCTCAGCTTCAATCAGCCCAGTTCTAGAAATGGGAGTCATCGTTGCTGAAGGGCTCATTTATGAATGAATGTTAATCTAGCTACAGGCTTAGGTTTGTGAAGTACCAAACCTAACAAAAGTCAGACAAATGATTGATCTCAGATAGAAAATGGATTAAGATGTAAAAATTACGAATTGAAACAGGAAAGCATAATCAATATTATTTGAAATATCTTGAAATTAATACATTTGTTTTGATTGCATATTATGTTGTGTTCCATTTGTTATGACAACACCAAAACTAGATAAAAAAATGTTTTATGCTTTGCACCAAAAGGTATATTTATTCTAATACTTTAAGCCAAGTCAGTTCTAATTTAACAGAACAATCAGAAAAGCCTGTTTCCACTAGTTTGTTTGTTTTTTGGAGAACATTTTATTTTCCCAAATGCAATAAAATACAATACAAAAATACTAATAAGCACTCAATGTCTTTTGAGACAAATTAAAAGTGTAAAACAACATGGAGAGAAATTGTTCCAATCAAAACTAAACTGTTTTTTATGTATTTTGATCTAATAAAAAAAATCTAATTATCTCAGCTTCTTTGGCTGTCCTGCAGTATAATAGGGACCCACACAGAGCAGTGTAACACAGAAATGAACATAACTTCAAACGTAGTGAAGGTAAGTTGTGCCACCTCTTTAACAGTCTGCATCAGGCCCTGTATTTTGCAGAGAAGGCAGGGTCACCAAAAGTGATTTAGTCCTGCCTACAGTGAGCAGAGGTCCAGCTTCTACTGAACGGAGCCGAAAGGGGAGTGAAACATGGAGGAGTTCAGAGATGTGTGATGGAGCCAGAGTGTTCAGGGCCTTGAGAGTCAGCAACCAGATCTTGTATTGAATACGAGACTTTATAGGCAACCAATGTAGAGACTTTAGTGTAGGAGTGATGTGCTGCCAGGGTCTGGTGTGAGTAACCAGTCTATCTGCAGAGTTTTGAACATACTGTATTGCAACTTGTTAAGAAGAGAATTAGGGAGCCCATAGGGTAAAGAGTTGGAGAAATCAAGCCTTAACATTATAAATGCAGGGATCAGGCACAGCATCAGACATTGATCAAAATTGCTTAATGCGGCAATATTTCTAAGGTGAAGGTCTTAATCTTAATTTGCCTGTTATTTCTTCAAATATTAACCACTGTAAGTTCCAGCTAAAAAAAACCAAGATAATTAAAAAAACAAAGACTGTGTCAGCTGACAAATATGAATCTGCTGTTTTGCAGCTGCTTTTTTCTGAGGTATGAACAGATGTTTACACAAGTTGCTCAAGCTGACACGCAGGAGGTCTATGCCAGAGCTGTGCTTGACATGTTCACCTCCTGTTCCATGCTAAACAGAAAAACAGTGTAAAACAAAAGTATAACAAAGCAAAACATTTGAAATTAGCCCTTTAACTTACCACTGTTTTTCTATTTAGCATTGTTTTATTTTTGTTTTACAACATTGAGACATCAGTAAAGACTGCTAATGTAAATGTTTAAGGTGGTGTAACAAGCTATAAGTGTTTATTTGAAGTACCTTTGATGTACAACTAACAGTTTGACTCCTAGTTTTAAATTCATAAACAACTACAAACATGAGAGAAAGACCAGGAACAAAAAAAAAATCTTTCTCTGCCACAAATTTACGTTTTATGATATATTTATGTGTTTAGGGCACATTTGGATATTTTTTGCGAAAAACAGAAGGCATAGAGAGAATCTGAACTCTGCCTAGTTATTGTATTACCATGGCAGCTATGATTTTACAAAGCTGTCTTGAATGTAGTTTAAATGTAGTTTCTGTGAGAAATTATTTCACATGCTGTTAGAATTATTTGTAGAGTTAACAAATGCCTGAACACATAAACACTGGACAAAAACATCCACTGACTCTCATTTATATGCTGCATTTTAGCAGCATTACTGTCTGTGCTGGAGCTCAAGTTGTTTTGGTGAAGCTGTGGATGATGTTGTTCTCTCAGAGTTGTTTTCATTGGCTTTGTGCCGAGTCCATTTTCCTGCTGTCTTTGTTTCCTTCTTCTGTCGTTGTTTTCTGTTGTTGCTTAGACCACTTCCCTGCCGAGCCTGAAACACAATAATTCAAATTTTCTTTTCTCCTGACAATAATGTATCTGAAGACAAAGGGAAAAAATCAACAACACAAAAACAACATGAGAGATGTGAGAGAAATAAGAGCATTAAAGCTTATTGCTTTCCTTTAGAAAGAGACAAAACCACACAAAGTAACTGTGAAAGGTGAGTGGTGTTAAAATGTCCTTGTTGTTGCCTCTTGCCGACCTTGCTGGAGCACTGCAGAACTAGCTGACATTACCACAGGAGCTGCCACACCCCGGCTCACCTGTCAGTCAGTGCTGGTTGACATGGATGTGCCTGTTTCACCTGTGGGCAATTTACAACCACTCCTGTCCCAGGTGAAGCAGGTTATTATTCCGAAAGTTGCAGAGAGGACCTACAGTTATCAATGTCTTTTTATGTTTTGCAGCTTTTCATAGTGGTGCTCTGGTGGACCAGAGATAAAGGCAGCAACATGACCCTGGGGGTGGTTGTAGTGGAGTCTCAGAAGCACTGCCCCCTAATAAAGTGATCTCTTTACCTTGTCTGCAAGCACTCGTACAGTTTCTATGATTGCTGTGACAGGTGAGGTCTGTGTGAGAAGGACTCTCAAATAACGAACACAACTAATTCTGTGAGCAAAGGCAACAGTTAGAGTGTTTTTTTTTTAGAAAGGCCTTACGTGGGTCTTTTGGGACATTTCTGTCACAGCGGAGTGTGCTCTGTGAAAAGCATTCGGCCATCCAGGACAGCACATCACTGCAGTACTTGACCTGGGACACAAGATGAAAACTAGACATCAGCCAATCTGCACACAAAAGATTGTGTGCCATTTATCCAGCCTAAAGCATAACCAAAGCCATTTACCCATTGGGGGATAACACTGATGCAATTGGAATAAAGTAGTTTACTTTATGTGTTAATTGGCACTAGTGTTTTGAATCTTGCTCTGTGGGCGTGGAGTTTGCACATTCTCCATTTTCTTCTTGGGTTTTCCCCATGTAGAAGCAGTGCCTCACCTGGGATTTAAACTAAAAAAAATCCATCAACAAAATCAGAGCCCTAATCATCACACCAAATGAAATTGTAATGGAGTTTTAAACAGAGGTTCGGGATTTGGTCAAGCCCTAATCTTGCCCACTTTGGCCCGACAGCATAAACTGTGGTTCGCTCATGAGCTTCGTGGTCACACCCCTCCTCTCCCCCAGCTGCACCTTCACAGCAGCTCCCAAGCTCATCCATGATGAGAGGAGGGATCCAAACGCCCTGTCCTTACAGATGGAGGAGATAGGCTGTCACCCTCCTCAACCATGTCCTCCAGTCAGGTTCATTCATTTACCCCGGTCTTGATTAGGGCTTGACCAAACTATTGAAAATCTCAAATTCCATTTCTCAAGATTCCAACTAAATATCCAAATTCCACTTATTCCCATTACATGTATCCTTGGTGATTTATCAAAGGTTAAAGTAGCAATTCATGTAAAAATACTTTTTTGACTCTCTGTAGTATTGCTAAAAAAATACAATTTGAGAAAATGGGTGGACAGTACAGGACTGTCATACAAAGAATGGATTAAAGGGTCTATATCAGAAATTAAATTTGAAAAGATTTAATATAATTTACAGGGGAATCTTAATGAGTATAGGAAGGTTTGGGGCCCATTAGAGACATACCTGAATGGCACTTGATGTTAAGAATATTAGTAGGAAGTTTTTGAATTATTTTATTTGTGAATGTAAGTTTTTTTGTTATTGTCTAATAAGAACAAAAATGAGAGAGTGACAAAAAAATTCAAAGTCCTCCAAAGTTGGGGGGGTGGAGGTGGGTTAAAAAGTTCAAATTTTGTTTTTTCTTTTGTTTGTTTTTTTAATTATACATGACACATTACAAAGTCATCTGTAATGATTTGTTTCCTTTCATGATTGTCTGGTACCTTCAGCAGAAGCTCCTGAACTTTGTCAGCATAAGAAGTGTAAACTACACAGCTGCTGGTTGTTTTAATACATTTGTACACCACTGCATCAGTCTCTGAGCTCCAGAAGCTTACATACAGTACAATACGTGAGACACCAAACTGAACTCCATAAGATATTGAAATCAAACTCAACATCCATTCCAATCATATTTCAACATATTTTAACATAAGGTAATTACCATAATAATATGATTAGATTTTGATTTTCTTTATTTCTTTATGCACAGCTTTTTAGCAACAATCAAATGTCCAACATGATAGACAGTTGTTTATAGCGTGTGTTTTTGTAAAGATGAATCATGCTCTTTTCTAAATATTACCTCTTAAGGTATTTGTAAGTTATCAATCACAACAGAACAGCAACAGATTGAAACCCATTGGTCTCATTTTGTGTTAAATCCCATTGAAACCCCCTAAAACTGATCAATATAAAGTAGACTGTCTACAAGGAAGAATGGGGGTGGCTTAAGAAATAACTGGCACTCTCTGTCAGAGGGTTGTACATCAATCTTTATTATCCCCATTGAAATTGTTCCTTACCTGCGTCTCAACTGATAAGAGTTGTTTTTCCTGTTCCTTATGACCTCCAACAATTTTCAGAAGGGACTGCACCCTATAATTAAAAAAATGCAGCTGATTCAGGGTGTCAACCTGAAGCCCTGAAGGCCTGTTCTTCCATGATCCCATGGCAGCGTTGGTGAGAGTACATGTTTTAGGCCTGGTATCCACTCTCGATAAGTAAAAAATCTGTTTCTTTCATTCTTTGAAGGGGACTTGTGTTAGGGCAATTTTATCATTTGTCAGGGAGTCTGCCTTCAGTTTTCAGAGTGCTGACTTTCAATTTGAATGATTAAAGGTAACCTAAAGAGTCAAGTAAAATTCTGCAGCCTCTGCCCTCCAGCAATGGAGACACGTCTGAAGACACACTTACTTGGAGGTTGTGGTTCTCAGCCTCTCCTCGCTACTCTCCCTCTTTCGTTTCTCCAGCTTGGCCAGGTAATTTTCCTTTTGCACCGTCTCCCAAGTCATTAGTTTCTGGTCCAAAGCTTCTGGTAATTCCCTTTCTGCAAGGAGGCAAAGAGGGATCAATACAGTATCCCATCCCACATCCCTGGGATTGTGCGCCTGGTGCAGATTCTGGATTCCCAGTGCAGTATTTAGCGGAATAAAAATACAGTGATTCCACAAATTGTAATTGTTAATCCATTCATTTACTGTATACAGTACATCACTCTACAATCAAAGGGTCCCAAAGTGCTTTATACATAGAAGAGGACCCACTTGATCAACCAATAAATTGCAGGAGGTCCTTCTTACTGCACAGCTGAATGGGCAGAGACATAAGAAATCGCATCTCCGATAGAATATAATACTGATTTCCTTGAAATATCCAAATCATATGTTTGAATTAGTGTTTTTTAGACTACAGTGCCTGATTTTGCACTGCACGTAGAGCCTGGGACTGACCTAGGGGATCCGTCTTGGACTCGGACTTCTTGAACATGCTGAAGACGACCTGGGAGATGTGGCTGATGATGATGAAGGGAGGAGCCAGGGCTGGCCTGCTGCTGTACTCCACGATCAGGTTGAAGCGCTGAAACTTCCAGAAGATGTCCGTGTGCTCCTGCACCACCTGGAAGGTGTAGCTACGACAGGAAATGTCTTTATTTGCCAAGCATGTCAGAACACTTACCTCAGGGCAGGGAGGCGACATTAACCATGTGATATTAACCATAGGAATTTTATCATAATCCACTTCACCCACAGCCGTAGTTTTATAGGATTAGGAAGTTGTTGCAGAGGCTTTCCCTGTAAATGCCACTGAATATTGGCTGGAATGCCTGATTTCTGCATGCTAGATAAGGACTGAGATTTCACCAGGAAGGAAATGTCTGAATACTGAGGTAGTGGTTCTGAAGGATGCTGTTCAGAGCACCTTGTTGCATACCTTGCACATTTGCACCCTCAGAAGTTTAGGAATGGCCTTCATCCCTTTGATATTTTTCTAATTGGCTTTCCGATAAGGCCAAAAAGCCAATTGTTTTGTGGGAAAGCACTTTCCTTTCTTGTAGAAGACATATTTTGATATATTGTTTTGTTTCTTTCAGTTCTGTAACTCAAAAACTCCTTTACAAAATCGGAATAATTTAAAAGAATGATACTAAAATAAAAGTAAAAACATTTTTGGTGAAAACTTTTGTATATATGCAAGAGATATATACACGGTATGAAGGAGTGTTAACAGATTCTTCAGACTGATTGCAAGCACAAGAGTTGTTTCTGAATTTATTAGATATAAACAATTAAACAGCTTGATACTGTCAGAGTTTTCTCAAAAAGCTTAAAATAGAACCCATTCTCTCAGCTTTCATTTCATGAGTAAGATGTAAGATTTTAAATTAATACAAAGACAAAAACAGACTGTTTCTAAATAAAATCTTGCAAAAACTCTAAATGGTGAGAAACAACAGTTCATGGTTCTTGTCATCTTTTTTGCAAAAACTATTAAATGTTTTTCCCGCAGTGAGATTTTAGAACTGTGAACATAATTATTCTTTAATAGTTTGTATAGTGTACTAAAATATATTAAAAAATGGAAACAGTTACTAAATATTTATAAATAGAAATACTGTACATTGAAATAGAAATGTACACTTCTGACTGAGCTGGAATTGTAAATATTTGCTGTTCATATGGTATATATGAGAAATACAAAGTCTCACTACCAATAAATCAGTTTTGTCAAATAACAAAAAACTACCTATCTTTTACTGCTAAATGCGAGTTAAGTTGTCGACCATGGGTATGAATAAAGCACTAAAGCTCAATCCTTACCTGAACATAGCGATCAGAAGGTTCAGTAGCAGCACATTGGTGACCAAAAGGAAGATGACCAGCAGGAGAATGACTAGCCAGTTGGCATACAGATTTGGACAAGGGGGCAGTGTTTCCTCCATGATCTCAAACAGGTCTGTGGTGCAATTGAGCTCAGGCATTTTAGCCGCTATGGTAAAACAGGATTACAAAATACATAATTAATGCTTTACCAATTAGACCTTCTGCTTACATAGTTGCTTGTCAAATATGGGAAGCAGAAAATTAAACACTCTTTAAGGAAAGCTGAGAAAAATGAAAGACATTGCTGATCAATTTCAAACCCCACCACTATCACTGGTTGGATCAACAGAAAAATCTAAAGTAAGGCAACTATTTTAAGGAAGGAAAAATGAAAAATGAAATGAAAAATTAACACAAGCAAGTGAAGTGACTGGACAGCAAGTGATGATGATACCAAGGAAGTATTGTTGATATTGCTGGAGTGGTTTATGTTTGTTAGCACTGAGTAAATGTATCATTAAATGACGCTGAAAGCAAAAACTGAGAAAAACTAAACAACTGGGAGAAGCAGAGTGGATGTGCTGCTCATGTTGCCTTGATGGGTTTTTAAAGAACACTCCATTACTGAGCCATAACCAGTTCTTGATTGACTCAAGCAACAGGATGTCCTAAAGGCCAGCAGAACGGTTGTTTCGGAAATTGCAATACTAGAAATTACAATTTCTAGTATTAGGAATTTGTCTTTTCGCAGACCCCAACCTGATCTCCATGAGACACACAGACAGGGAGAGAAGCTTGGGGTCAGAGCATAGGGTCAGCCATTTATATGGTGCCCCTGGAGCAGTTGGGGTTAAGGGCCTTGCTCAGGGCCCAAAAGGAGTAAGATTCCTCTGCCGGCCGTGGGATACAAACCGGCAACCTTCCAGCCACAGGCACAGATCCTGAGCCACAGAGCCACCGCTCCGCCGCGGAGTACATAGTACATAGTTCATAGTTCATAGTACATAGTACTCTTTTGTTCTCTGATTTTTTCCGGCCATGGTTTTCTGTGTTGAGTGTGACAACATCCCCTGAGCTCACAGTCTGAGCACCGCACACCTCCTCCATGGACTGAGCTTTGAGATACAGAATCACCCGTCTTACCGTCGATCTCTTCCAAGGGGATCTGGCCGAATATGTGGAGGTAGGGCCTATAGAGGACCCTCCTGAAGATCCAGTCCACTCTGTTCTCGTTGGGATGAAGAAGGGCCTGGGTGGCAACCCCATAGGCCAGGAGCCACACACTCAGGAAGAACAGAAAAAAGAAGACATCCTTCATCTGCCAAAACACAAGGACACTTCGCTCATGAGTCTGGCCATGGTACCAGCCCACAACATATTCCACAGCAATGCTTTCCTCTTGGGGAGGCTCTGATGGTGCAACCAGCCAGTGGCTAGTCAATCCATCCATTTTTTTCCCATTCAGGTTTGTGAGGGTGCCAGGGCCTATCCCAGCAAGCAATGGGCACAAGACAGGATACACCCTGGACAGGACGCCAGTCTATCGCAGGGCAGCAACACACACACACTCACACCAGGGCCAGTTTTGCCGGAAGCTAATTAACCTGCCAGTATGCTTTAGGACTGTGGGAGGAAACCAGAGCAACTGGAGAAAACCCTCACATACAATCTCCATGCAGACGGACCCCAGGTCTGAAATTGAACCCAGGGCCCCAACGCTGCAAGGCAGCAGTGCTGACTACTGCTCCATCATGGGGCCCAAGATGCAACCACCCAGTGAGCTTAGCTTTTTAAACCTGCACCTTTTACAAAGCATTTGTCACTGTGGGAATTATCCATTTTACACTGCCAGTCTCCTGTTGTTTTGATGTAATTGCTGGGAGCTCGGAATAAAAGACTCTGGGATGTTTGTGGCTCTGCAGCCAGGATGTGGGAAACAGTATCCAGCAGGTCTGCCTGACGGGGTTCCCAGTATAGGGTATGTTATGGCACTGGGGCTCACTAGGTATTCCTCAAACCTGGCATTCTGATCGCTCACCATCCTCTCCACAATGATGATCTTTGGACCAAGCTGCTTGTGGATGGCAAAGATGTGGATGAGACGCAGAGTAAACACCATGAAGTCCAAGGCTAAGACCGTGCGTCCAGCCTCATACATCGATGTCAGCATCCTGTGGGAGCAGAGATCAGTGTAAGAATGCTGGCAAACCTCTATCACAACATTGGGTCACTGAAACAACTCTAGCAGCAGATGCAAAACTATACAAGTCTGTGTTTTGAGATTATAGTTTGATGGTATTTATGTGGAAGACAGCTGTTCAGTTTATGCTTCTAAATATGATTGTTTCATTGTTGCGGAGTTGCTGATTTTTCACACCTTCATTGTACCTAAACTGACTCAGAGCCAGCTTAGGGTTCATACTATAGTTAGGTCAGCTCTGAGCTGGTAGAGAGACACCTCCCAGTCAATCAGCACAGGACTGAGCTGGAGAAGAGACACCTCCCAGTCAGTCAGCACAGCACTGAGCTGGAGAAGAGACACCTCCCAGTCAGTCAGCACAGCACTGAGCTAGAGAAGAGACACCTCCCAGTCAGTCAGCACAGATCTGAGCTGGAGAAGAGACACCTCCCAGTCAGTCAGCACAGC